GTTCGCTCGTCATGCCCACGACCCGGGTTCGATTCCTCACATGGGTACAATGTTTCTGGTGTCCCCCACGCCGTGATATTGCTGGGATATTGCTAAAAGCGGCGTAAATCCAAACTCACTCACTCACCCACTCACTCACTTATATATATATATATATATATATATATATATATATATATATATATATATATATATATATATATATATATATATATCTATAATATCTAAATATGAGGCGGTCTTCCTTTCCAGGGTAAACGTGTTAAAGAAAATTGTCTGTTTGATATTTTTTTATCACTATGAGATTACCGGTATAGCGAAAGTTAAACCTGTTCGACAAAGAACCATTTTTTCAATTCGAACTGACGTTCCGATTCACGTGCAATAAAGAAACAAAGGAAAGAGAAGGGAAGCAACTCATTCACTAGAAATGCATACTGCTTGGTTTAATGTCAAAGGTTTATGTTGTAATATCAATGAAGACCAGCATTTCAGAAATTATTTCCATTTGAACTTCGGATGTCATATGCTTTCATTCTTCACAAATAATGTACTGAACCTCTGGCCATAGGTGCATAAAGATTCCTGGTTAACTAATAGTGATGTCACGCATGAGCTGAACTTATCAATATTTAGTATAGAGATATCCTTGTTATCTCAGCTGTACAATATCAACGCTGTTATCACACTTATTCACCACAACCTCGTCAGTACATTATGTTTTGTGTTTCTCACAGATTGTAGGTAATTTTGAGACCTAATGTTAGAGGGGTTTATGATTTTGTTGAAATTCTTTGAAATTCAAAACTACATTTGGCTTATGCCCTGCACATTACAAGTCATGTATTTCTCTATTTCTCTCTGATTTCAATTGTCTGTTTATGTCGAACGCTGAGTAATTCGAAACGTATTGTAAGATTCCAGCAGTCGATGGCCGGTTGTCTTCGGTGCCACAATTCGCGTGGGCAAACCAGGGCCCCGTTTCACAAACCTGTCGTAGCGCTACGACTGTCGTAAGTCTATGTTATAGTATAGGAGGCACGCGCTACGTAGCTACAGTCGTAGCGTTACGACAGCTTTGTGAAACGGGACCCAGAAACCTATGATTGTAGGTATGAATTCCGGTTTCCTACAACTATACGGTCCAGTGTTTGTTATCACAATACTGATGCTCGTGGGTTTCATCAACCTGGTAGACATCTCGGACGTGTATAAACATTGGGCTTTCCGACAACGTCAAGCTGACACGTCGAGATGTAAGTGAAATACTGTTCAAGTCTCTTACTTATTCTCACTAAATATATGACGTTTCCTATTGTAGGGCTCACGACGACAAAGATGCCATTTCTTACCAGCATAGTCTTGACCCAGCTAGCATTTATGATCCAGAGAGCAAGTAGTGATATAGTGACCATATCACCTATTTCCTACGACAAGCACCTCCTTTCCTCTGTAAATGATGTGTCTTATAAGAACGTCTTTAACACAAGTACGGGCATGGTCATTCTCCATTGCAATGTGTTCTGCAATGGTACAACACTCACAGAGTTCGCAGACCGCGGATGCTCCTTCATACAACCCAATTTGCAAAACATGTCGTTGTGATGGTGAATGTAAAGAATATGGCGACTGCTGCCCAGACGATAACTTGAATGTGACCATGGAAAAGGAAAACAGACATGTTTGTGTCAGTGGAAGAAAGGGGGCATTTTACTTCACTGGTGGCCATGCTGCATACTACCTGATACACACATGTCCGGAAGAGTCCACTTTCGATAAGACTTCTAAGATATCAGCAGACGACCTCTCTCCAGTCACATCGATGACAACAAATATCACGTATTTAAATGAAAGAATCGCAACATGTCATGGCGTTCAGATCTTGATCAGATGGAGAAAACAAAATGTATGCCATAAGAATAGAAAAGACCAGGAACCCGTGGGAGAATGCGAGACAGCCATTCATCCTCCAGCTTATCCACAACCAAGACCATGTCACGCGGATTTTGCTAATGCACAGTACATAGATTCGTGTAGCAACACATGGTTATTGAATAGTTCGTTCTCCAGTATAGCCGAGGAACAATGTAGGCATGGAATATATTACCCAGTCACAACGAAAACGTATTTGTTCAAGAATATCTTCTGCTACTTATGCAATGGACTTTCACCATCTCATAATGAGTGCAACAAGGTGGCACCAGTCTTCAAGGGCTCGTTTAACGATCTCATCTGTACAAGGTGTGACCGACCAGCATGTAGAGAAGTTGAGTGGTATGACAGAATCACGGTGAGTAGGTTTTTCTGGAAGTAATTTTGCGTATGAGTTTGTCACCATGATGGTATGTCTGTCTCGACATTGAGGTATGGCTGTATCAAGATGGTTTATATGTTTGGATTATGGTCTTTGTATGCTTAGACTATGTGGGCGTTATCAATTGACCTCGCTGACTTGTAAGCCTGGTGAATAGTATGCCTGTGTCATTGTGTGTGGTATGCCTGGTGAATGGCATTCTTGTGTCATGACGAGTTGTATGTCTGGTAAATGACATGCTTGTGTCAAGGTGAGTTGTATGTCTGGTAAATGGTATGCTTGTGTCATGGTGAGTTGTATGTCTGGTAAATGGCATACTTGTGTCATGGTGAGTTGTGTGCCTGTTAAATGGTTTGCTTGTGTCATGGTGAGTTGTATGTATGGTAAATGGTATGCTTGTGTCATGGTGAGTTGTATGTCTGGTAAATGGTATGCTTGTGTCATGGTGAGTTGTATGTATGCCTGGTGACTAGTGTGCTTGTGTCATGGTGAGTTGTATGCCTGGTAACTGGTGTGATTGTGTCATGGTGAGTTGCATGCCTGGTGACTAGTGTGCTTGTGTCATGGTGAAATGGTGATAGTGTGCTTGTGTCATGGTGAGTTGTATGCCTGGTGACTAGTGTGCTTGTGTCATGGTGAGTTGTATGGGTTTGCTTGTGTCATGGTGAGTTGTATGCCTGGTATGTATTGCTTGTGTCATGGTGAGTTGTATGGTGACTATGCTTGTGTCATGGTGAGTTGTATGCCCTGGTGAATGACATGCTTGTGTCATGGTGAGTTGTATGTCTGGTAAATGGTAGTGCTTGTGTCATGGTGAGTTGTATGCCTGGTGAAATGGCATGCTTGTGTCATGGTGAGTTGTATGCCTGGTTAAATGGTGTGCTTGTGTCATGGTGAGTTGTATGTATGGTAAATGGTATGCTTGTGTCATGGTGAGTTGTATGTATGGTAAATGGTATGCTTGTGTCATGGTGAGTTGTATGTCTGGTAAATGACATGCTTGTGTCATGGTGAGTTGTATGCCTGGTAAATGGTGTGCTTGTGTCATGGTGAGTTGTATGCCTGGTAAATGGCATGCTTGTGTCATGGTGAGTTGTATGCCTGGTAAATAGTGTGCTTGTGTCATGGTGAGTTGTATGCCTGGTAAATGGTATGCTTGTGTCATGGTGAGTTGTATGTCTGGTAAATGGTATGCTTGTGTCATGGTGAGTTGTATGCCTGGTGACTAGTGTGCTTGTGTCATGGTGAGTTGTATGCCTGTGAATAGTGTGCTTGAGCCATGGTGAGTTGCACGTTTTGTAATTGGTAAAAGAACACCGTGAAGTGTGTTGGCAATCTGTTTTTACTTTGAACAAAAATCCTTTGATGCTGTTTGAAATCTTGGTATTTGTCATGATACAGTCCTGTGGATGTCCTTTGTCGCCGTAAAAGCTCACGCTTAAACTCTTTCCACATTCATAAGAAATCTTTGCCAAAAGCAGAGTCGATTGTACCATTGTGACTATATCATGAGCAGATATTTGTTTCAGCAGTATTTATTGTTGTTTGTTAACAAATGGTTGGAACCAACTAAAAAAATGCAACATTCAGTCGGTTTCAGTATTAATTGTTTCGTCATTTTATTATGGTGGGGCTATATCAGAATTTTGCAACGAATGAGATATAGCCTACTGGATCAGACCAGCAGCACAAACAATATACTGCTCACATGATTGAAAGCATAAACCGGGCATCTCTGTCGAAAATATTTGTGTTTTCAAAATATTGTGTATATAATGTCATGTCGTTTTGATTCAATATATTATATATTTATAAGCAAATTTTGCCTTAAACAACACGTACGGTCGCATACACGAATATACCAATTACTAAATGGACATTGCATTGTCGGGACAAACACTGTTTATTGATTATCTCTGCCTAACTGGAACATCAAAGTAATGACTCTCAGTTTGTGGTCAGATGAGAAGGTTACAGTATCTAGTCGGTGAAAATACGACGCCGGACACAAAGTCATTTTACCTTGGGTTCCCTTAAATATGTTTAAATAGAAATTTCAAACATTCTAGATAATATAAAAAAGAATAATTTGATTTGTGCAGCATGTGACTATTACCATTTTTAGCTACTGTTTATACTTCAGTTTAACTCATTAGCCCAGTGGTTCCATTTACGAATCTGAAGTTCTTATAATGCATGGATTTCATGCATCAATCAATAATATTTGCTTTATAGTTATGTTACATTTCGGTTTTCATAGCTCCTCATAACGTTTTCTCTAAGTTGGGTTTCGTTTAAGTTTATTTCGTTTCGGAGGGTAATTTCCCTGTCAGTTAAAGGTTACAGATGACATCCCTTCCAAAGACGGCTACAATTAAATTCTATTGTAATTGGATTCGTTTCAGTAATGTATTTATGTTTAGCAGTCACTGTTGTTTGCGAGGTTGAAATAAGAAATATTCACCTTACGGAATGAAATTGTGTTTGGGTGGTTCATCTATGCCTTCTATAAACAGCTTACACCCATTTTTAACCTACTGTCTAATACTTGTGATTATATGTTTAAGAAATATTTTCTTCTATAAATACTTGACACTGTGTTTTATGTTGACTTTTACAGAATGAGTGCCGGGCCATGTACTGTCGATCAGGGTACAATCTGAAGGGTGGAAATGTCAGTTAACAGATGTCGGATTGTCAAGAGTTGAGTACCAATTTGCAATCCTGTTTTGGCCAACTGGAAACAACACATCCGACCCAAGAATTCAAGACTGGAATTTCATCGAGCCAATGGTTGTCCGTAATATACCATTAGTTGCAGAGCAGTACAATATGACTTATTACATGTTTTCTGTTTATGAACTTGTGTACATTAACATTGATAATAGTTCTAAACTTGTCAATGTGCCATCGTTTGGACTGACATTGACGTTCAGGACGAACCAAACGTGCTGTCGGGATGCGTTTGAGGAAACCATGGTGGCGTTGTTGGGGGATGTTTGGTCGATGGAGTTTAATGGTTCAGTGTTTCAGTTTCGACTCTCTCAGGATGATTTTAATACTTATGGCGTATCAAAGAGACAGTTGTACAAGATGCATCCTCCCTTCACCAGTCCACAGAAGACGGAAACGTACGATAGCTTCCCGTCGGAGTTTGTTGAAACGCCTAAAGACTTTGTTTATTTTCCTACGGTTTTGCCAAAATGTTCGTATGTTCAATTCTCCACGAATGAATTTAACTGGAACACTGATTCATCTATCTCCCTTCGGTACGTTGACATAACAATAGATCATGATAAATTAATCAAAATAGACGATCAAGATATAATAATATGTGTTGACACGATAGAAGAGGTGTATTCCAACTACCAAGATCCAGTCAAACTCGCTAAAACTATTTTAACGATAGTTTTCTCTATTCTGTCCTTGATCTGTTTGGCCTTGACTTTCATCACATACTGTACGTTCCCTTCCCTTCTTACCCTGCCGACGAAGAATACGATGTGTCTGGTCGGGTTTCTGTTCTTGGCTCAGTTGCTGCTTTTGTTAAAGGATGTACCCCTCCGGAATGAAACAGCTTGCAAAATATTTGGCGTTCTCCTACATTACTTGTGGCTGACAGTTATACTGTGGATGAACGTCTGCTCCTATCACATGTTCCACGTCTTCGTCGTGGATGCTGCAAAACCGATTGGTACCCAAAGTCATCGTAGTCGTCTTGTGAAATACTCTCTCTATGCCAATGGATTGTCTCTTCTCATTGTTCTCATAACAATATTTTCCAATCTCGGCATGTCTTCCGGAAGCCATATCGGCTATGGTGTAAACACCTGCTATCTGAGTACGTCTCTTCTCGTCGGTGTTGCTTTTGTGGCTCCTCTAAGTATCGTCCTCGTCATGAACATCATATTCTTCAGCGTCAGTGTCTGGACAATGGCCAAGATCAACAAAATGAGTGCAAGTATTGGGTCCGACAAGAGTCAGGTGCACATCTACATTAAGTTATCCACACTGACTGGGATCTTTTGGATCTTGGCGATCCTCGGCGAAGTTCTCCAGCAACAAGTCCTCATTTTCATCTCCATTGTCCTGAACGCTGGTCAGGGTATATTCATCTTTATCTCCTACGCTGCAAACAAAAGGGTTCTTCAACTGTGGAGGGGAAAAAATTAACATCCAACACTTCATATATCCTACCAAGAGTCCATCTCCTAATCAAACGAAGAATACAAACTTATGAAGGACAAGGCGAAATGTTTTTTTATTGCCCCAGATTTCTGGACATATATCACTTTTACTTAATAATGCCGTGATATTTCAAACTATGTAGAAGAGATATTGAAACCTGCATGTGTCATTGATAAAGGAATATATTTCCTGGAAAGGGTCAACGAAACTATTACGCTCATGTAGTGTTATTATATTATACTGTTAATATTCTTTCGCCCAAATATTTGTAAATATACAATGTCCACGCCAGATAAACCGACCGATAGTGTTTAGCCCATACTTCGAATACTTTCCATTTACCATCCATATAGCATACGTATAGTAGTTGTGACACCCCTTTCCCCACGCTCTAAATCTAACTATTGTGTGTTCTTAGAAATCACACTGTTTGTTTACTGTTAAAATCGTTAATGGCATCTACAAATATACAGAGAGAAACAAATAAAGGAACACAGGAAAATTCAAGTGTTCTTTTAATATTTTCCAGTTTCCTTCACCAGCTTTGAATAGTGCTGTGGGAGGAAATCTGAGAAAAAAGGAACACTGCCATGAAGTGGTGTTCCCTTATTTGTTTCCCTCAGTATATTTTGTGAACATGTTTCGTGGTTAATGTAAAATTGTCGAGTGTGTAATTATGGGCATGGTAAATGCCTTGATATTAGTTATCGTACCCGTATATATGTCAAGTTGCTATATGTATGACGTCGTATGACTTATCTACCGATATATGAACCTTGGTTAAAAAATCAATGGAGACTCACTGCAAGTCACTTAACCATTATGCATTGTTCGGTATCAACTTTCCAGACTTTGATTTTCTTCTGTAAAAAAAAGATACGTCATCAACAAGAACAGGCTTAAGACCAAGTTTTCATTTTGGAAGGGTTCTGACGTCAACAAAATATCTTCTCTTACATGCCAGGATGAAATTAATGATACGTTTTGAATTTGCCGCTGTCTTTTTCCAGAGAATAAAATATGTAAAATTCAACTCTGGTGCTTTCTTCCATCATTCAACACATATATTAGAATCAACTCCCAAATAAAGAAATCTGAATCAAAAACTTCATAAATGCGATATACAGAATTGTATATCTGACCGTGTTTTATTAAAGGTCACATGCAACAAAAAACCCAAACATAATTAAAACACAATAATTAATCATGACATATAATATACATTGCTGATTGTGAAAAAACAAATAAACAAAATTATAAGCGTACAATCGCGAATCAAAAGTGCAATATTTTGTACTTGGGTTTACTTCCCTCGAAACGAAGCACCCGGGAGACCGAACCCAGTCAGAGCGGGTGGGAGTGCACTCAAGTGTAACGAAGTCTCTCATTGGCTGGTTTATTTGCCGATGCCCATGTGTGTGTGTATATAGAGATGATCTGTTTGATTGGCATTTTAGAAGTATGGTGAGTAATAAGAAAGTAAGATTCTTTATGGATAACAACTTCTTTAATTGTATATGAAGCGACGTTTCGAACGGTATGGATTCTTATACCATTGTCACTCTTTTGACAACGGTATAAGAATGTGTATAGAGATGTTGGGTTTTGTAAATACACGCTCTCTGTATTTGCGTTCGATCCAATCAACAAATACTGAGATGGTGAACTACTGCGTGGCTGGAAACTGTCGTTCGTCCAAGTACAAAGCAGGACTTGAAACTGACAATCTGAGTTTGCACCGGTTTCCGTCCGATCCAGTCATCCGAGAAAAATGGATGCAGTATGTTTGCAACCCACAGACATAATAACATGTCATGTGTCATGTATCACACCTGCCTGTCTGTGTCATTACGTATTGTGACAGAGACAGAACTTAGGTGCACGAGCCATAAATCAATGTATTTTGTTTATGGTGTATAGTCTGATACGTTTCAAGTTCAAATTGCATGTGGTCAATGATTGAAGTTGTGTATTGCATATTGTCATAAGCAGACAGGCAGGCAGACACATAAGTGTCAATAAAACATACATTGAGTTTTGTCTGTGACAGAGACTGCTTATCACAATCAACATATTTTTCTATGTTTCCATAGACATGTATTAAAACACTTCAGTTTTCAAGCCGAGCAATTTTTAACAATGACATTAGTATTTCTAATGGTACACTTCCTTGAAAACTTGGTTTGCAAATCTGCAACCAGGTATGAAACCACTGTATTTTTATTACTGCAGACCAAAGATGCTTGTAATCACAAGAAACATCTTTTGTTCTCCAACTTCGACCACAGCGATGATCCTTGCACGCATCACTTGCTGTGTTTTTACGAGTCGCCTGCCCGGTTCAAGCCGCGCGAACCTAATCAGTGCGCATGCGCTATGGGTTCAGCGCAGCACAGCTGTTGAAACCACATTTCACCCCATCGCTGGGGTGAAATTAGTAAATCGTTTGAACTACGATTTCGCGGGGTTTTTTTCATCGCGTTATTTTTCAACTTTATAAGTTGAATTTGAATTTTGTATAATTTGTTATTGTAAGTCCATACCGAAAGGTATCAGAATCTGCAAAGTTGTGTTTTGCGTTGCATGTGACCTTTAACCGTTACAAAATATCAGCGAAATTGCACGTTAACTGTCAAAACAACAGTTATTTTGTGTAAATGTGAAAATAACAAACCATTGTTCAGTCTGTATGGAAGTGTCGGTGGTTTGTATCACGTTTAGTTCCCTCGATGTTACAGCCTCGCTGCCCTCCTACAAGGTCACCACAGAGTGATAGCTTTGAAGTAATAAGTGGTAGTATAAATAACCTTGAAACTGACATTATCACTGAGTGCCCATGTGTTGTCGGCATGATGAGGTACGATATGAATAATTGAACTACCATAGGTCGAATTGGCAAGCTGCTGCAGGCGAGCGGAGGCGACAGATGCAATAGAATCAGGTAAAAACGAACAGTTTGTAGAACTTTTTGTTAATTTAACTTTAATAAAGTATTTAATTGCCCATGTCTTTCCTCTATGTTACTTGTGAATTTCAAATATTATTGATCATCTGTTAGCGCCAAATGTTGATCAACTGAAAACGCCGACCACTCTAGGCGCAACACATGTGGCAACTAAATGTAGTCAACCATGCGAGACACACTGCTAGCCTAACATTCGTTTTGCTCACATGAATGCCAGCAGATTCGCTCACAGAAACGTGACAAATAAGCAGCATGCAATGCTACAGGTAATACCCAAAACAAACTTTTGTAAGCTGGTGAAACAGTTAATCGTTAAAAATAATCCAAATAGAGTAAAGCATCACTTATAACATTCCAACACGTGACTGTTCGAGTGCTATGTCAATGTTTTCAATTCATCAAACTCATAAATGTCAATGTCATGATCACATGCCTGCCAACAGGATGAGTCACGCGGCTTTTTGTACATAAATGTTTTGCTTAGCTGTTGTAACACAGTGACGACAATACGGATAAATGAAGAAGACGTGTGGATTTTATACAGAACTAGTGTTTACTCCTGAACATAAGTACGAGAATAGTATAATACAATTCGCGAGAATCTAATAATTGGTGACACAATGCCAGTTGCAAATGCTGAAAGAATTTGGAGAAATCAAAATTTCAAAATTATACTTTTTATGAAATTCTTATCTTTCTAAGCATCAAGTTAATGTTAATGCAATTTAAGTGTTCCGTGCGATTGCAGATTGGTTAACAGTAAAGGTGTCACGTTTCGTGCTTTCTGTTCAGATTGGCAACACACCGTTATTAAGAAAGTTATTTTGATCTTTTCTTTGGCTTGATCTGTTGTTTGTTGTTTAGCTTCCAGACAACAAGGATGAAACTGTATTTCTACCTCACCGTGTTTAACATGGTCTTAATAAACACTCAAAAGACAAACAATTACTCGTCGGTTGATGTTTATGGGCCCTACTTCACCGATCTGCTCACCGCTGTGGAAAATGTGTCCTTGAACGCAGTTCTTCATACGACTACCAGCCTGTCCATTCTCCACTGCAATGAGTTCTGCAACGGTACAACGGTCACAAAGATCGTAGACCGCGGGTGCTCGTCATCCATCCCCATCTGCAAAACATGTCGTTGTGATACTGACTGTGAAGAATATGGCGATTGTTGTCCAGACGAGAGTTTCAATATGACGATGACAAGGGAAAATAGACATGTTTGTGTCAGTGGAATAAATAAACAATATTCCTTCAGTGGTTCCCACACTGGATACTACTTAATAACTACATGTCCGGATGAATCCAATCGCAATATGTCTGCTTCCCAGATATCAGGAGAAGACATTTCTCCAGTGACATCGACGACAACAAATATCACGTACTTGAATGAAATGATCGCCGAATGTTATGGCGATAATATTATCATCCGATGGGAAAAGGAAAATGTATGTGACAAGTACCCATCTCAGCCAAACATCAACGAAAGCCCAACAGACTGTTTGACTTTTCATCCACCATCTGATCCACTACCCAGATCCTGTGACACTAATTTCGCTGATGAAAAGTACATAGACTCGTGTAACCAGACAGGGTTGTGGGATGGTTCCTTCTCTGAGATAGCCGAGGAGCAATGTAGACATGGAATCTATTACCCAGTTGCTACGGGAAAGTACGCATTCAAGAATATCTTCTGTTACGTGTGCAATGGACTCACACCATCTGCTTTCAAGTGTGTGCAGCAGAATTCAGGTGGAGGGTATTCTATAAACTCACTCGTTTGTACACACTGTGATCGGCAAAAGTGTATGGAAAATGAGTGGTATGACTGGATCAAGGTGAGTGTATTGGCCATAAAGGTTCTGCGGTGGGTGGGGGAAGTATCTCGTTTTGAAATTTATTCTCAAGGCAAACAATTTCTATATTTATTTAAAGGTGCTATTTTCGAGGCATATTTTGGGTTAATTCGATTTTTTTTTATAAAACCCACCCCAATTTTATCTTTGCAGCTGAACATGTGAAACAAGTCTACTTCACTTTAATTTCGAAAGTTTACTAATTCACAAACGTGTACATACTCCATTGACGAACGGGTCCCTATCATCCTCTGTTCTTTGTTGAAATCATGCATCACCAGTATCACTCAGATTTGTAGCTCTCCAAGCCGACATGTTTATGTCCTACATAAACGTTTATGCTCGATAATGTTCTGCTAGCTCAGAGGACAGAGGCATTAATTCCTCATGGATTCTACCCTACTTAATGTAATTTGCGTGTAATGTCCCTCAACTGGTAGTTGAAGGTTACAGAAGCCAAACCACAATGAAATTCATTTGTAATCGGATCCGTTTTAGTGATATTATCAGTGATAAGCAATCACTGTTTTAGAAATTCTATTGAAGAAATTCTTCTTGCGGAATAAAATTGTGTTAATGTTTGAAACCCGATGAAAAATGTAAAAGGAACCTGTTCTTCAATACAATTCTTGACATTGTCTCTTATCTTGGCCTTTACAGAATGAGTGCCGTGCCATGTTATGTCGATCAGGGTACTATCTGAAGGGTGGAAAATGTCAGTTAACAGATGTCGGATTGTCAAGAGTTGAGTACCAATTTGCAGTCCTGTTTTGGCCAACTGGAAACAACACATCCGACCCAAGACTCCAAGACTGGAATTTCATCGAGCCAATGGTTGTCCGTAATATACCATTAGTTGCAAAGAAGTATAATATGACCTATTACATGTTTTCTGTTTATATATACTTGTGTACATTAACATTGATAATAGTTCCAAACCTGTCAGTGTGCCATCGTTTGGACTGACATTGACGTTCAGGACGAACCAAACGTGTTGTCGGGATGCGTTTGAGGAAACCATGGTGGCGTTGTTGGGGGATATTTGGTCGATGGAGTTTAATGGTTCGGTGTTTCAGTTTAGACTCTCTCGGGATGATTTTTATACTTATGGCGTATCAAAGAGACAGTTGTACAAGATGCATCCTCCCTTCACCAGTCCACAGAAGACGGAAACGTACGATAGCTTCCCGTCGGAGCTTGTTGAAACGCCTGAAGAGTACGTTTACTTTCCTACGGTTTTGCCAAAATGCCCATACGTTCATCTCCCTGGATATGAATTTAATTGGAACACTGATTCATCTATCTCTCTTCAGTATGCTGACATAGCAATCAATCATGATAAATTCATTGAAATAGACGAACACAATTTAATAATATGTGTTGACACGATAGAAGAGGTGTATTCCAATTACCAAGATCCAGTCAATCTGGCTGAAAATATTTTAACGATAGTTTTCTCTATTCTGTCCTTGATCTGTTTGGCCTTGACTTTCATCACATACTGTACGTTCCCTTCCCTTCTTACCCTACCAACGAAGAATACGATGTGTCTGGTCGCGTTTCTCTTCTTGGCTCAGTTGCTGCTCCTGTTTAAGGATATGGCTCTCCGGAATGAAACTGCTTGCAAAATAATCGGCGTTCTCCTACATTACTTGTGGCTCACAGTTATATTGTGGATGAACGTCTGCTCCTATCACATGTTCCACGTCTTCGTCGTGGATGCTGCAAAACCGATTGGTACCCAAGGTCATCGTAGTCGTCTTGTGAAATACTGGCTCTATGCCAATGGATTGTCTCTTCTCATTGTTCTCATTACAATATTTTCCAATATCGGCATGTCTTCCGGAAGCCATATCGGCTATGGTGTAAACACCTGCTATCTGAGTACGTCTCTTCTCGTCGGTGTTGCTTTTGTGGTTCCTCTAAGTATCGTCCTCGTCATGAACATCATATTCTTCAGCGTCAGTGTCTGGACAATGGCCAAGATCAACAAAATGAGTGCAAGTATAAGGGTCGACAAGAGTCAGGTGCACATCTACATTAAGTTATCCACACTGACTGGGATCTTTTGGATCCTGGCAATCCTTGGCGATGTTCTCCAGCAACAATTCCTAATTTACATCTCCATCGTCCTAAACGCCGGTCAGGGGATCTTCATCTTTATCTCCTATATGGCAAACAAGAGGGTTCTTCAACTGTGGAGAGGCAAACTTTACAAATACGTACCTACTGCCAAAAGTCAATCTCAAAACCAAACCAACTCTACAAATGTTTGAGTAACGAGACAAAACGTCCTTTTTTGCCATTTAAGCGTCTAATTCATTCAACAGGATAAAAGAAACACGCAGTGCAATCCAAAATGTGCTGCTCATAGCTATACTACCCATCAAAAGTTTAGACTCGTTCAAAAGACTCACTATATCTTATATATGGTTACATCGAAGATGAATGTCTCCACTACCCTAGGGGAACCAACTGCAATCCTTACAGCATTACATTGCTGAAAAGCATGTGCAGATATCGTGCATGTGAACAGCTCAGGTTTAGTGTAAAGTTTTGTTAAGAATCCGCCAATTTTCACTAAGTGTCATCATATATTGGGCTCCTGACAATGATCTTTTTTCAACGTTACGAATTTGTTTTACAATACATCAGTTCATGTGTAAACGGTACCTTTAAACAGTATGGAATATTTTGCAAAATCTAGTTTAGAACAGTTGACTGAAGTTAGTGGCCATATTTACATATGTGAGTATAAACGTTTGATGAGTAGTATAGTTGTGTGACCATCGCACGAGGCTTCAATCTGAGTTTGTGATGTCCGTGGTTCGCTTTACGTGATATCATGTAACGAAGAATAACCTATAACGATAAATTCAAGTACCAGAGGTATGCACGTTCCGACAAGTACAATTAATACATAGTTCTTAACTCTGATAGACACACGCTTATAAACACTCACGCACTGACTGAAAGTCACTCAAGCAGTATCTGTGTATGACATATATTTTGTACACATACCTTTTAGCTTTCGAGGCATTGTACGGATAGCCTAGTAGTTAGAGCGTTCGCTCTTCAGCTTTTAAACTAGGAAAGTTCAATACAGGGGTGCATTGCAGGTACAGCTTAATATATGTACTGATATTACTTTAATCTATGTTCTGATATACGTTCAATATATGTGTTCATATTAGTTCAGTTTATGTACGGCTATTAGCTTAATGGGTGTACTGATTTTAGTTTAATATATGTACTTTATATCAATATAATGCATGTACCGGTATTAATTTAACAGATGTACTGATATTGGTTTTAATATATGTTCGATATACGTTCAATATATGTGTTCATATTAGTTCAAAATGTGTATTGATACTACTCTAATCGATGTATTGATATAAGTTTAATATGTGTTCGGATATAAGCAATATATGTGTTCATATTATAATATATACGTACTGATTTTGCCTTTATAGATGTACTGATGTTAGTTTTATGTATCCTCTGATTTCAATTAGATATATGTACTGATATCAATTTATAGATGTGCTGAAATTACTTTGATGTTTTGCTGATATTAGTTTAATATATGCACTGATATCAGTTTAATGTGCATACTGATATATGTGTAATATTTGTTCTGATATTACTTCATATAAGGACTTATATTAGCTTAATATTTGTGCTGATATTATTTTTATATATGTACGGATACTATAGTCTGTTTGCAGTGAAAAAGTACCGATGAATTTCACTTTAAACAAAAAAGTAAATCAATTTAAGTGAAATTAAGATTGCGAATCCTCATAATTTTACCTTGCCAAATGAACAATGTCATTTAAATCTCAGATTTTTTTTCAACTTAGGATAAAAGTTGTTTAACAAACGATCATAGTTTCAAATCGCTATTATTGGTTGTATTACAAGGGGGTATGCACTTTAAATGAAACATCGAGAACAAGTAGGGTTGGTGTAAGTTAACGCTCATCACGTACCGCACGTGGAGTTAAATAGCCAGACTATATGTATGGTTGCTTCATTCTGTGAAGGATATTAAATGCAAGAGTGGACTTTACTGTTGTACATTTGTGAGATGTTATTACCTAACAATCCATGACCTGGAGTTAAATAGCCAGACTATAGGTATGGTTGCTTTATTCTCTGAAGGATATTAAATGCAAGAGTGGACTTTACTGTTGTATATTTGTGAGATGTTATTACCTAACAATCCATGACCTGGAGTTAAATAGCCAGACTATAGGTATGGTTGCTTTATTCTCTGAAGGATATTAAATGCAAGAGTGGACTTTACTGTTGTATGTTTGTGAGATGTTATTACCTAACAATCCATGACCTGGAGTTAAATAGACAGTGAAGCGTCATTGTGAGTCACTCACCCATAACACAGTGTGTATTAAAGCATCACCATTCCAGATTATGATGTTCTTGTTAATGAGAGAAACTTCATCACCAAGGACAATAAATTACTACTCATATAAAATCTGAAAAAGAAACATGGAGGGTTTTTGACTTAAACAAGGTTATCGTCTCGTCTATGTCAAGAGGAACATATTCATAACGTTTTGATTTGTCGCGGAATATTTTGAGACCAAATAATTTGTAAATTCAAAACATTCTTTCATCACCCGAGATCAAGCTCACAAATATTACAATCAGTTCAAACTAAGTTTACTTTCATGAATGTGATAAAGAGAATACGATATTTTGTAAACGCTTACGAAATATCCGTGAAATTACACTTTTAACTGTCAAAAACACAACAGTGGGATTGAAAACCACCGCACGAGCATTCCAGTCTGTATTTTTATCTTGAAGGTTCTACACATTATGTTGTTTCATCAGCGTCAAATCCTGACAGCTACATAACCTTTCTGAAAATGAAATGGGCCCCCCATGGAGAGATATTAGGCATTCAATGTACCTAATGGCAATATAAATGATGGTGAACTGGCATTATCAAACAGTGCCGATGTTTACGTGACAGGGTAAGATATCAATAATTCAACTTTATAACTGGCGAACTGGCAAACGGCTGCAGGCGGTTAAACTCGACGAGCACATTAAGACAAGGTAAGAATTATTATATAACTTTGCCTGCAGACGTATTTGTTTGAATACTTGTTTATGGACTATGGTGTGGTCAGTGATATTCCTCTAGGGCTTTTCTTAGGTTTTGTTGAAAATGCTTTGCAATCTATACGGCTATGAGCAATGAAGGCTAAACTCGCTTGTGTCATACCGGTTGGTATGATTGATGTATGGTGTAAGAAATAGAAAAAAAAGAATTGATGGATACTGTATTGTCTTTCTTATTTAGTGACTGATGGTATAACGTCTAAAAACAGAGAACTTCAATATTTATAATGCAGAAGAGTACAGACACTTACGGAGGTGTTTTAATCAAGAGATGAAAGGCATAGATTTCACATGAAGAACACAACGGAACAAAATAAAAAATATGAATCTTCAACTTTTTTAATATAAATGACAATTGTTTAGTCTAGCTTCTAAAATTCATAGTGAGTAAGTGAGTTGGGTTTTACGCCGCTTTTAGTAATATTCCAGCAATATCACGGCCGATGACACCAGGAATGGGATTCACACATTGTACCTATGTAGGGAATCGAACCCGGGTCTTCGGCGTGATGAGTGAACGCTTTAACAACTAGGCTACCCCCACCGCCCCAGAAATTCATAGGATGTACACATCATACATAGGGCTTATCACAACACGTCCAGCATATTCCCAACACAGTCCGCGTTTCCCAGTCAATGACACCTGACCAAAGAGGTTCATACTTCACATATAATGTGTCAATGTTTTTAAAGCATAATTATTACATGCGTGCATTAGGATGAGTCACACAGTCATTGTACATAAATGCTTGTGGAATGAACTGCCAATCCATATCAAATCCCAGAACACTCTCACTGGATTCAAATCGAAACTCAAGACACACTTTTTCAACTTAGCTCTTGATTAATGAAATTCTTTTTCTCAGACACAACAGCTTTACAAGTTTTAGTATAAACAGAAACTGTTGTAAGATAGTGACGACAATGTGGAAAATATGTATGTTGGAAACCAATGTTACATCACATCCCACAATGAATGCATTTCATTATGAAATACAACTGAAAAGGATTTCATTCCACTCATGGTCCATAACATTCTCAACAATGCATTTATTAAATAGTTTTTATAGCTCCTGTTGTTCTTTCGAAAGGCATTAATGGCAATGGCAGTATTAAAAGATCGACTGATTTTCATACAGAAGATTTGTTTGGTCCCAAACATCAGCGTTATGAAATATAGCTACAGTGAAATGATGGCAACATATTTCTGATAGTTGCAACTGAATTTGGAAAAGTTAAACTTTCTACATTGTTACAATTATTATCTTTTTAAAAATTAAATGACTGATATAAAAACGAAGATTCCCTGAAACTAAAATATATGCCATCGGGTCATTGATGAAATAGGATTTCGTGCAAATTTACATTCATTATCAGGAATAGTGCCACGGTCTCTGTTCAGACTGGCAATACAAACATTTATTAAGAAAGCTGTTCTGGGCTTTTCCTTGCTTTAATTGTTTGATGTTTTAGCTTCCAGACAACGAGGATGAAACTTTATTTCTACCTCACCGTGTTTAACATCGTCTTAATAAACACTCAAAAGACAAGCAATTACTCGTCGGTTGATGTTTATGGGCCCTACTTCACCGACCTGCTCACCGCTGTGGAAAATGTGTCCTTGAACGCAGTTCTTCATACGACTACCAGCCTGTCCATTCTCCACTGCAATGAGTTCTGCAACGGTACAACGGTCACAAAGATCGTAGACCGCGGGTGCTCGTCATCCATCCCCATCTGCAAAACATGTCGTTGTGATACTGACTGTGAAGAATATGGCGATTGTTGTCCAGACGAGAGCTTCAATATGACGATGACAAGGGAAAATAGACATGTTTGTGTCAGTGGAATAAATAAACAATATTCCGTCAGTGGTCCCAACACTGGATACTACATAATAACTACATGTCCGGATGAATCCAGTCGCAATATGTCTGCTTCCCAGATATCAGAAGACTTTTCTCCAGTGACATCGACGACAACAAATATCACGTACTTGAATGAAAATATCGCCGAATGTTATGGCGATAATATTATCATCCGATGGGGAAAGGAAAATGCATGTGACAAGAACTCATATAAGCCAAACACCAACGACAGCTCAACAGCCTGTCTGACTTTTCATCCACCATCTGATCCACTACCCAGACCCTGTGACACTAATTTCGCTGATGAACAGTACATAGACTCGTGTAACCAGACAGGGTTGTGGGATGGTTCCTTCTCTGAGATAGCCGAGGAGCAGTGTAGACATGGAATCTATTACCCAGTTGCTACGGGAACGTACGCATTCAAGAACATATTTTGTTACATGTGCAATGGACATTCACCTGTTCGCTGCGTAATCTTAAGAGATTTTACTCAAAGGACACTCGTGTGTACAAATTGTGACAGACGAAGGTGTAAGGAATATGAGTGGCATGATTGGATCAAGGTGAGTGATATAATTGTTTACTTTTCAGTCATTGAGATAAGGTTTGGCCAATATTGACAAACAGTTGGCCAACCATCCATCCATATAACAATATTGGCCCAACAAACCTTTTCAATCTAGGTTGTATTGCTGGTCGAAGATGAGTGGTATGGCGACATGTAGGTTCTGGTATTGCTGATCCAAGATGAGTGGTATGGCGACATGTAGGTTCTGGTATTGCTGATCCAAGAAGAGTGGTATGGCGACACGTAGGTTCTGGTATTGCTGATGAAAGATGAGTGGTATGGCGACATGTAGGTTCTGGTATTGCTTATCCAAGATGAGTGGTATGGCGACATGTAGGTTCTGGTATTGCTGATTCAAGATGAGTGGTATGGCGACATGTAGGTTATGGTATTGCTGATCCAAGATGAGTGGTATGGCGACATGTAGGTTATGGTGTTGCTGATCAAACATGAGTGGTATGGCGACATGTAGGTTTTGGTGTTGCTGATCAAACATAAGTGGTATGGCGACATGTAGGTTTTGGCCCAACAAACCTTTGCAATCTTGGTGGTATTGCTGGTCGAAGATGAGTGGTATGGCGACATGTAGGTTCTGGTATTGCTGATCCAAGATGAGTGGTATGGTGACATGTAGGTTATGGTATTGCTGATCAAAGATGAGTGGTATGGCGACATGTAGGTGATAGGGTTGCTGATTAAAGATGAGTGGTATGGCGACATGTAGGTTCTGGTATTGCTGATCCAAGATGGGTGGTATGGTGACATGTAGGTTCTGGTATTGCTGATCCAAGATGGATGGTATGGTGACATGTAGGTTCTGGTATTGCTGATCCAAGATGAGCGGTATGGCGACATGTAGGTTCTGGTATTGCTGATCGAAGATGGGTGGTATGGCGACATGTAGGTTCTGGTATTGCTGATCGAAGATGAGTGGTATGGCGACATGTAGGTTCTGGTATTGCTGATCCAAGATGAGTGGTATGGCGACATGTAGGTTCTGGTATTGCTGATCCAAGATGAGCGGTATGGCGACATGTAGGTTCTGGTATTGCTGATCCAAGATGAGCGGTATGGCGACATGTAGGTTATGGTATTGCTGATCCAAGATGAGTGGTATGGCGACATGTAGGTTCTGGTATTGCTGATCCAAGATGAGTGGTATGGCGACATGTAGGTTCTGGTATTGCTGATCCAAGATGAGTGGTATGGCGACATGTAGGTTCTGGTATTGCTTATCCAAGATGAGCGGTATGGCGACATGTAGGTTCTGGTATTGCTTATCCAAGATGAGCGGTATGGCGACATGTAGGTTCTGGTATTGCTTATCCAAGATGAGTGGTATGGCGACATGTAGGTTCTGGTATAACTTATCCAAGATGAGCGGTATGGCGACATGTAGGTTCTGGTATTGCTGATACAAGATGAGTGGTATGGTTCCATGTAGGTTCTGGTATTGCTGATCCAAGATGAGTGGTATGGCGACATGTAGGTTCTGGTATTGCTGATCCAAGATGAGTGGTATGGCGACATGTAGGTTCTGGTATAGCTTATCCAAGATGAGCGGTATTGCGACATGTAGGTTCTGGTATTGCTTATCCAAGATGAGCGGTATGGCGACATGTAGGTTCTGGTATTGCTGGTCGAGGATGAGTGGTATGGTTCCATGTAGGTTCTGGTATTGCTGATCCAAGATGAGTGGTATGGTTCCATGTAGGTTCTGGTATTGCTTATCCAAGATGGGTGGTATGGCGACTTGTAGGTTCTGGTATTGCTGATCAAACATGAGTGGTATGGTGACATGTAGGTTCTGGCCCAACAAACCTTTGCAATCTGTGTGGAATTGCTGGTCCAAGATGAGTGGTATGGCGACACGTAGGTTCTGGTATTGCTGATCCAAGATCGGTGGTATGGCGACATGTAGGTTCTGGTATACCTGATCCAAGTTCAGTGGTATGGTGACATGTAGGTTATGGTGTTGCTGATCAAAGATGAGTGGTGTGGTGACATGTAGGTTATGGTATTGCTGATCCAAGATGGGTGGTATGGCGACATGTAGGTTCTGGTATTGCTGACCCATGATAAGTGGTATGGCGACATGTAGGTTCTGGTATTGCTGATCCAAGATGAGCGGTATGGCGACATGTAGGTTCTGGTATTGCTGATCCAAGATGGGTGGTATGGCGACATGTAGGTTCTGGTATTGCTGATCCAAGATGGGTGGTATGGCGACATGTAGGTTCTGGTATTGCTGATCCAAGATGAGTGGTATGGCGACATGTAGGTTCTGTTATTGCTGATCCAAGATGAGCGGTATGGCGACATGTAGGTTCTGGTATTGCTGATCCAAGATGGGTGGTATGGCGACATTGAGGTTCTGGTATTGCTGATCCAAGATGAGTGGTATGGTGACATGTAGGTGCTGGGATTGCTGATCCAAGATGAATGGTATGGCGACATGTAGGTCCTGGTATTGCTGATCCAAGATGAGTGGTATGGCGACATGTAGGTTCTGGTATTGCTTATCCAAGATGAGCGGTATGGCGACATGTAGGTTCTGGTATTGCTTATCCAAGATGAGCGGTATGGCGACATGTAGGTTATGGTATTGCTGATCCAAGATGAGTGGTATGGCGACATGTAGGTTATGGTATTGCTGATCCAAGATGAGTGGTATGGCGACATGTAGGTTCTGGTATTACTGATCCAAGGTGAGTGGTATGGCGACATGTAGGTTCTGGTATAGCTTATCCAAGATGAGCGGTATGGCGACATGTAGGTTCTGGTATTGCTTATCCAAGATGAGCGGTATGGCGACATGTAGGTTCTGGTATTGCTGATCCAAGATGAGTGGTATGGTGACATGTAGGTTATGGTATAGCTTTGCCAAGATGAGCGGTATGGCGACATGTAGCTTATGGTATTGCTGATCCAAGATTGGTGGTATGGCGACATGTAGGTTCTGGTATTGCTTATCCAAGATGAGTGGTATGGTGGCGTGTAGGTTCTGGTATTGCTTATCCAAGATGAGTGGTATGGCGACATGTAGGTTCTGGTATAGCTTATCCAAGATGAGCGGTATGGCGACATGTAGCTTATGGTATTCCTTATCCAAGATGAGCGGTATGGCGACATGTAGGTTCTGGTATTGCTGGTCGAGGATGAGTGGTATGGTTCCATGTAGGTTCTGGTATTGCTGATCCAAGATGGGTGGTATGACGACATGTAGGTTCTGGTATTGCTTATCCAAGATGGGTGGTATGGCGACTTGTAGGTTCTGGTATTGCTGATCAAACATGAGTGGTATTGCGACATGTAGGTTCTGGCCCAACAAACCTTTGCAATCTGTGTGGAATTGCTGGTCCAAGATGAGTGGTATGGCGACACGTAGGTTCTGGTATTGCTGATCCAAGATCGGTGGTATGGTGACATGTAGGTTCTGGTATACCTGATCCAAGTTGAGTGGTATGGCGACATGTAGGTTATGGTGTTGCTGATCAAAGATGAGTGGTGTGGTGACATGTAGGTTCTGGTATTGCTGATCCAAGATGAGTGGTATGGCGACATGTAGGTTCTGGTATTGCTGATCCAAGATGAGTGGTATGGCGACATGTAGGTTATGGTATTGCTGATCCAAGATGAGTGGTATGGCGACATGTAGGTTCTGGTATAGCTTATCCAAGATGAGCGGTATGGCGACATGTAGGTTCTGGTATTGCTTATCCAAGTTGAGCGGTATGGCGACATATAGGTTCTGGTATTGCTTATCCAAGATGAGTGGTATGGCGACATGTAGGTTCTGGTATAACTTATCCAAGATGAGCGGTATGGCGACATGTAGGTTCTGGTATTGCTGATACAAGATGAGTGGTATGGTTCCATGTAGGTTCTGGTATTGCTGATCCAAGATGAGTGGTATGGCGACATGTAGGTTCTGGTATTGCTGATCCAAGATGAGTGGTATGGCGACATGTAGGTTCTGGTATAGCTTATCCAAGATGAGCGGTATTGCGACATGTAGGTTCTGGTATTGCTTATCCAAGATGAGCGGTATGGCGACATGTAGGTTCTGGTATTGCTGGTCGAGGATGAGTGGTATGGTTCCATGTAGGTTCTGGTATTGCTGATCCAAGATGAGTGGTATGGTTCCATGTAGGTTCTGGTATTGCTTATCCAAGATGGGTGGTATGGCGACTTGTAGGTTCTGGTATTGCTGATCAAACATGAGTGGTATGGTGACATGTAGGTTCTGGCCCAACAAACCTTTGCAATCTGTGTGGAATTGCTGGTCCAAGATGAGTGGTATGGCGACACGTAGGTTCTGGTATTGCTGATCCAAGATCGGTGGTATGGCGACATGTAGGTTCTGGTATACCTGATCCAAGTTCAGTGGTATGGTGACATGTAGGTTATGGTGTTGCTGATCAAAAGATGAGTGGTGTGGTGACATGTAGGTTATGGTATTGCTGATCCAAGATGGGTGGTATGGCGACATGTAGGTTCTGGTATTGCTGACCCATGATAAGTGGTATGGCGACATGTAGGTTCTGGTATTGCTGATCCAAGATGAGCGGTATGGCGACATGTAGGTTCTGGTATTGCTGATCCAAGATGGGTGGTATGGCGACATGTAGGTTCTGGTATTGCTGATCCAAGATGGGTGGTATGGCGACATGTAGGTTCTGGTATTGCTGATCCAAGATGAGTGGTATGGCGACATGTAGGTTCTGTTATTGCTGATCCAAGATGAGCGGTATGGCGACATGTAGGTTCTGGTATTGCTGATCCAAGATGGGTGGTATGGCGACATTGAGGTTCTGGTATTGCTGATCCAAGATGAGTGGTATGGTGACATGTAGGTGCTGGGATTGCTGATCCAAGATGAATGGTATGGCGACATGTAGGTCCTGGTATTACCTGATCCAAGATGAGTGGTATGGCGACATGTAGGTTCTGGTATTGCTTATCCAAGATGAGCGGTATGGCGACATGTAGGTT